AAACAAATCCAGGTAGCGGCCAGGGCGAGACTTGAACCCGGGAGCGGCGGATTGCAAGTCCGACACGCTGACCACTCGACCATTCTGCCCAGGTCCCACAAGAATCAAGGCGAAATACTTCAAAAATAGCAAAGAGCAGACTGCACTTAAATCATTCGAAGAGAAGAATTGTTGGCTGGAGACGAGACTAGAGAGAAGGGCAAGGGTCTCAAAGAGATATAATACACCTCCCGCACTCTAATCATCAGAAATCCCACCCCCACCACCCCCATCCTTAACCCCCCACCGCGTCTAGGGCGTTATTTGTACTCTACGGAGTGTAGTTGGATAATAACTTGTGTTCTTGCCTTTATTTCAATTTATCGTTTCCTTGAATTTATCACTTCTTCTCTGAGGCTTAAAAAAGGGGACGTGACATACCGTGGAATAACTTCGTAACAGGAAAAAAAGATTAAGGCTGAAATTCTTCATGTATGCTAAAAACATATTAATCCCCATTACAGTCAGAAGAAGTTTAAGACACTTATAGGAATAAAAAGTATCATCAGGTGATTTTCCTTACCGCTGTCTGAACCATTAGAGGTCTCTGAGTACGCAGGCGCCGTACGGTCTGAAACATGTCTACTGAACCATCTAGTTTGACCCGCTCCAGTGCTATATTAATAGCGCAAAAAGTGCCAGTGCGACCGCTTCCATCGCTAGGAGAGAGTAACGAGAGAAAAGACTCGTTTCCTTAGCTTATTAAGGAAAAAGAACCAACGAAAAACCTATTTCGGTATTAGTAAAATTGGAGAGGTAACATATAAGTGGGGGTTGATCTCAAAAAGACCACCTCACGGCAGTGTACTTGGGCCCCTGTTTTTTAACATTTTTATCAATGACTTATTTTATCATATTACGAAAGTGAAGCTTCGTGCGTATGCGGACGATGAACAATTATATCGCTCGGATAAAGACCATAAATTACTAGACAAGCGGCTAATGCATCAAGTTAAAATTGCAAACGAATGGTATTTAAGCAACGGTATGCTTGTCAATCCCAGCAAACGCCAAGCCATGATAATAGGAAACTTGGATCATGTATTCCCTTTTCCATTACGAAAACCAATTGAATTGTTTGGAATTACTGTGGATGACAGACTTTGCTTTGATGAACACATCTCTAACATGCGTAAAAAAATAACTAATCAGTTTAATGTTATAAGCAGATTCCGTAAGCTCATACGTTTCTACATAGCATCTATAATGCCGCAGTTTATGTATTGTTCGACTACATGGCATTTTTGCGACGCTACAAATAAGGAAAAGTTAGAAACACTGAACAAACGTATAGAGGTTTTGCACAGCAGCCATGTTGGATGGCAGGAACAATAGATTATTTTACCCACGGGAAAAATTTTTCTTTCTTATGCAAAATATTTTCATTGTTCCTGCCATCGAACATGGCTGCTGTGCAAAACCTCTATTCTTAGGATCGTCTTAAATAATAGCGCTTCATCATGCATTGACCTCTTGCAACAAATAGGAGACTGTACTCTTAGCAATACTGAAGCGGATACAGAATATGCTCAGTTATTTTTAAATTCCTTAATTTTGAACATTACCCACAGTACCTGAAAGAATTGTTTACTCTGAGATCTGTTGACTATTCTATGAGAGGAACCAATATTCTTACTCTTTTTAGACCTGTTACTACTACTTATGGCATAAATTCTCTCAGTTATAAAGCCGCTAATTACTGGAATGCTCTACCAGATAAATTGACAGCTGAATTTCATTTCAGCAATTCGTCAACATAATTTTATTATATGATGAGCTAATAATAATGATGATAATATTCTTATACTATTTCTAGTTAATGTAAAAAGTAATTCATTTTATTCTAGGATTGAAAAAAAAATTTTTTTCTTTCTTCTTTTTCTTTTTTTCCTCGGAGATACTAGCCTGCCTTTGGCTACTCTTAATTCGAGATGAAATACAGTTTTATGTATGTATGTACAACGTTCAAAAGGCGACGTTTTCATGTTTTCTGGAAATATTTGTAATAATATGACAATTAAATTTGTAATATTCAAATGATTAAAATTCCCGTAGCCCAACAACAGTCAACTGATAACAAGTTAGCATTAGTGTTAGATTAAGGGACGAGCAGCTCCGCAGTGGCAAAGATACTGACATCGATCTATATGACGTGATATTTTCAAAGGGTTTACCTGCAGTGGACGACTATTGGTCCATTGCCTGTCTGCTGCTGCACCCTTGTGATACATTTCATCATGTCAAGAAGCCCGACACCATTGAGAGGAATGGAGCGCTCGGCCCAGTCCGTGAAATGAAAATGATAATGGGTACGAACTTCACCGCTCTGTAGGAGAAAGCATTTGATCACGATAATATTAGCCAGCAAGGCAGGCGTCCTTTTAAGGCAATTTAATGTTACAGGCTCGCGATCGTTTATTCGACCGACCATTGGACGGTACGGGGGAAGGGGCGGGGAAAGGCGGGAAATGATATCATCCCAACCCTTCCCTCTCCTTTCTTTGCATCGTCACCCACCCCCCTTGGTGCAAATTTACTTCCCTCCCAAACTTTCCGCTACAAAAACTCAAAGATGTCAGCTAACTTTCACCGAGGAAATTCTAGGCACCCGCTCGCCAAAATTACGCCAGTTCTGAAGACGAGCTCGCCAGATCGCTGTCGCGAGGAACGTCTTGTCCAAAGATCGTTATCTCGAGCCTTAACCCTAGTGAGCTTGGACAACTCTGTTCTAGAAACACGTTCTCTAGTTCCATAAAACGCTGTTCCCCTTTATAAAGGTTACATCACAAGTCAATTCATTGAAACAATAATTGCAAAGGTTCTTTAAAACCAAGACATCAAGTTACGCAAAGTCTATCACACCTACCCTTAGATCTTTCGTTTCCTTTCCTAAATAACGAGCACATATCAAACTCTTTATTTTTTCACCTTTGTGTTCGTAATCTTCAGTTGCCTTCTGCAGAAACCATTTCTAAGATCTTCCGCTTCGACCTCGATCATCAACAAACCATAGACGGTGAATTCCTCTTTGTGAGGCAAGTAAGAAGCACAAAGTTCCTGCAAACGACAGATGAATATTACAAATCAGGAAAATTGAGAAGGCAAACACCAAACAACTGAAGAGTAAAATAAACCCTTTCCCTCCCCAGATCTTATTCGATTCTCCTCACCATTTGCCATGCAATCAT